GTATACTTTTGTAACTTTGCGTCTTGAATAAAGAATGTATGTATGTATGTACTACTTATGATGATCAGAGATATGACACTCAAGTTCATAACCAAAGTATTCCTGCCTGTCATTGTGGGCAGCACGGTTGATTCGTTTTAATGACTCTATAACAAGATTTTTTACGTGACAGTTTCCAATGATTTATAACAGCATGACACCGCGTTGGTCGTAAAGAACGACGGCGCCGCGTTTTGACTATCACTCTCAATGTGGTCTGAACAATTAAACAAAACCCAAAACGGAAGGGCAATATCCTAGAAGAACAAACCATAGGCTCCTGGCTATTGCTACTATGATAGTTCCATGGATTGAGAAATTTCAACTGACTCAACTTTATTTCACTCAAAACAGTTACCCAAACTCGCCAAACTGACTGCGCTATTTCACTCTCAACGAGCGAACCGACTTAATATCAATACAAATTTATCCTGTTACGATTCAATGAATCTTCTTGCCTCTAATTTTCGTTTTACTTACGGCAAATTCACGTCCATCGCGAAAATACGAATTATAAGGGTTTTGTCATCTTTTGAATTTTTTTTTAACTGTTGCTTCCAGGACCAGATTGCCTTCGGATAACTCACAGATTAAAAAAATGTCATTTTAAGCCGAATCAAGTTATGTAATAAAACAAGCGACCATGGTCGATTGAATAAAATGAATAGCTCTTCAAAGCACGATTTGTTCGCGTGCTCAAAGCCTGAAAAGGCTGACGGGTCACTGCAAGGGTTTCCGTGACAATGTTGCAACTTAAATGAATGAATGAAAATGATTACGAATGGATCAAGGTGATGCGTTGTACCAGAGATTAGCTACACGACCATAAAAAAGAATAATATTGAAAGCCCTAAGGTGACGTTTAATAAATATACTGAATATGTGGTTTACGACTTTTTTAACGACATTGACATGAAAAAATAATAGCTAGCGTTGCAGTCGATTACTCTTGACACAATTGTAGCGTCCGCCAGGCTTGGCTATAACCTAACAATAAAATGAATACATTATCAAATGGCTAGAAGTCAATTTGACGTTTCAATGATTAAAAGGAATAAAATTCTACGGGAAGTGCATGAACACCAAAAATTGTTTCCTGCAATCGAAAGACTATATCTAGTCCGTAAGGAAGCACCATCTTGAATTGCCTAAAGAGCGAAGCGGATATCTTGGAGACGATCATTTGGCAGAACCATTTTATATGTTTGCATACAAAGAGCTGTCATCAGATGAAACATTTTATTGACATATTCTAATTCCAGCAATGTATTCAAAACACAAAGGAAAGTATGCATGTCACTTTTCACGGGGCGTCGTAATTAGAAATTAAAAACAAACTTCCTCCCCCCGAAAGGATAGTAAAAGCTTCATTTACTCAGAAAAGTACTTTGTTTCTCTCAGTGGTAGACAATTAGTAAGAAATGATTGAAAATTAAACTGAGCTTGATTTAAAAAATTACGAATTCACCTGCCGCTGTCATCGCCCTTAACACAGACTAATTCCCGCAATATTATGTTATCATTGTAGTAACAATATAAATTGCCACCAGAAATGACGGGACTCTTGCCTTCTTTTGTTAACAATTAACCGCGTTGTTTCATTCAACACCCTGTTCAATTTTTGCCTTTTCTATTTCCACGGTCGAGAGAAGGTCCTCAATGATTTTATCTAGCTCCAGTTCTTCTTCGTGATGAATATCAATTGAATGAATATCATTGCAAGGTGGTTCAGAATGGTTTGCACCTTTGGTTGCCTGTGGCGAGTTCTCGACTGAATCTGCCGACGAAAGTGTTTCTGTGGCAGTATTATTAGAACTGTTTCTTTGTTCGTAATGTTCAAAACTTGCTCTCCTTTCGACATGTTTTTGCTCAAGAGACTTCTTCCTTTCTCTTCGCAACTTCTGAAAATGACCCTCGCGGAAGGCGGCGTACAACGCCAGTGCAATGGATTTCGCTTTGTCCTCGCTGTCGCAAGCAACCGCGTGGCATTCTACCACCGATGGACTTTTGTGGTGATTAAAAGCGAAGATAGTAGTGTCAATTCTGTTTAGAGTACAATAGGAAATATGTTTTAGTGCAATAAACTTTGAATCCTTCATTGTGGACTTGGTTTTCACCTCGGTGAATTTCACGCCGTCGTGTTCTACTTCCAGGTTCATTTTCGGGCTCGATTTGTCGTCGACTTTCGCTCGCTCTTGTATTTTCCGCACCGCTTTCTCTATCCCAGCCAAGCCTGGCTCTTCCGTCATCCCACTGCCAAGATATTTCACTTGAAAGCGCGTGGCTGAAGTTAAATCAGCCTTACCGTACTTGTGTTTAATCATCTCTGTGTTCACCACTGCGAAGACTGAAACACTGTCTTGAGTTGGGTTACTTTTAACCTCACTTCTCCATTGTAATCCTTATGTTTATACGATATGGACTTACTACGTCCTCACAGATCCTCGAGATACTAAAGGTCTGATTGGGTTGTTTATCGTATTCCCTAATATCAATCCACCTGTCTCTACCTCCCTTTCAAAAAATCTCATTGAAATGCAAATTTGCTCCGTTGACGTCGACACTCTTTACAACGGCTATACCAGGGCATAGTGACGTTTCATTTATTTGACAAGGTAAATAAACTCATTTGCCAGGCACAATCTAAGCTTTTCTTTGCACTTTCATTACACTTGATACTCCTAAGGCGATATTTTTTCCACTGTGCGTGAGGTACCCACATATTTGTTAATCCATTTTTATATTGTTAGTGGTTTATAACCATGCAATATTCCGAATTGTACTCCGTAAGCTTTCTGTGCAAACTATTCAATCACTGTTGTTAATTTCCATTCAGTCAATGCATGTTATATTAACACTTAGATTTTAAATTGAAATTAGAAATTTCTTTTATACCAAGATTGGAATTTGAAGGATATACTCGAAGATTGTGTCGTGGAGGCCACAAACGTTTGCGGTATTTTTTGAGGGCTATCCGTACTTAAAGAGGAATTTTCGCGGTGTAAAGTTTAAGATTAACATCTTTTAAGATGCTCCGATATGAGGTAAATTTGAGGTTTTGGAAAAATCTTATACCGGATCAATTTCTACTATGAGGGGGGGCAAGAGGGGGTATTGTCACGAAGTCACGATAGTAAATTTTCGATTTCACGAATCACTAAGGTCACGGAAAAAATCTGATCACAATGCAGTGAAATTCAGCTACGAACTCAACTTTAGACATTCACGATTTATTTCTTATCTA